CCCCAAAACCCCAAAACCCCAAAACCCCAAAACCCCAAAAGGTGAAGGCCATCTAGAACATTTATTAATAATATGGGAAGTTGCTGAAGCACCGAAGAGGACAAGAATGATATTCAGGTCAGTCAGAGGAACCCTAAGAAGAACGATAAAGGAAATGCACTGGGAACTGCAGCACCATCTAATAAGAATTTTGTAGTCGAGGAAACCGATACTCCAGGAAATATACTGGATTCTATTAATGAGACTGTGGCTAAAATTTATCATGAAAACAAGGGGTTTAAAGTTGATGCCCTTTCACTCCCATATTTAGAATATAAGCCACTTAAAATTCTTGAGAATGGAGCTAAATATGAAGGACAATGGAACACCAAAACTAGTGAGAGACACGGTAAAGGAATCCAAGTTTGGGCAGATGGCTCCATGTACGAAGGGCTCTGGGAAAACAGCAAAGCAAATGGCAAAGGCCGCCTAATCCATGCAGATGGTGATGTCTATGAAGGCGAGTGGCAAGATGACAAAGCTCATGGTAAAGGTGTCTACATCCATACTGACGGAGCAAGATATGAGGGAGACTGGAAAGAAGACAGACAAGATGGCTTTGGAGTAGAAACCTGGCCAGATAATGCCAAATACGAAGGTCACTACATGGACGGAAAGAAAGATGGTGCCGGAAAGTTCTTCTGGGCTGATGGATCCAACTATGAAGGAGAGTTCTGTGACAATAATATCCATGGACATGGAATCTACGAATGGGCTGATGGAAGAAGATATGATGGTGAATGGAGCAATAATAAAATGCACGGAGTTGGAAGATTTGCTTGGAAAGATGGTAGACAATATGACGGACAATATAAAGACGATAAAAAGGAAGGAGAAGGTACATTTACTTGGCCAGATGGTAGAAAATATGTAGGAGCTTGGCACAATGGTAAACAACATGGAATCGGCACATATACAGACTCCAAGGGTAGAGAAAGACAAGGAGAATGGAAAGAGGGAAAAAGAATCAAATGGTTAGGTGAATAATTTAATTCAAATTCAATTTATTTAAAGGACTCAGGGGTTTTGGGGTTTTGGGGTTTTGGGGTTTTGGGGTTTTGGGGTTTTGGGG